GGCGCCCATCGGCAGCAGCAGCACGTTGCGGCCGCTCGCCTCCTGCAGCGTTATCGTCACAGGGATGGACCCGCCCTCGCGGGACATGTCCGGCTCAGTCTAAACAATATAATTCTAATAACTTTAAACTGTCGTGGTTTTTACAATGATCGTAAGACAGGGGTTTCTTACCACGATTAGATTGTTTCATCTCCCGATATTTGGCACAGTTGCATGCGCCTATTCACGTGCTGACTCAACATGGCGTCAATCCAATCGTGGTAAGAAACCCGTATCTTATGAAAATTATAAATATAATTATGTGCTTATAAATCTGACATTTATCAATGTAGAGCCCGCTTTAACTATTTGTCTTTGGTTCTGTGCAATACCACCACGACACAGACAAGCGTCAAATGGGAACCCTTTCTCTTGCCACCGTTTTCTTACATGAAAAGCATGGAAAGAGAAAGCTGATTTGACGGTAAGGAAACGTTTAGGAAGGGGAAACATCCTCTCTATATGCATCTCCTCCGACGATAAAGGATATGCAACTTCTGCAACTGCGGATTCTATGGGAAGCGATTGCTTCGCCATTTAGGCGGATTCAGGTGGACGCTTGCTTGTTTGCCACCTTATATTACAACAAAGAAATTCAAATATATAGAGTAGACAGTTGACTTCACTTGAAACATTTTTCATATAATCATCACTTATAATAATTATGGCAATTATAATTATTACATTTAACCTATATTTAATTTCCAGTAGGTATCATTGAATATTATTCAAATGTCAATACAAGGACAGTGTAGTCACCTACTTAGGGTATACTCCGAGCACTTCGGTGGGGACGTACAGTAAGCTGGTGATGGTGATGATGGTGATGATTGTGATGATGGTGATGATGGTGATGATGGTGATGATGGTGATGTTGGTGATGTTGGTGATGTGCGCATACCTGGTAGATGAGCTTGGTGGCGCGCGCGGCGGCCTGGTAGTGCGGGTGGTCGGGGTTCTCCGTCCAGGCACGCCCGCTCTGCGCGCTGATGCGCATCTTGTTCGGCGAGCCGCGCTCCGCCCACTGACACATTATTTATTTATTACTAGCTTTCGCCCGCGACTACATCCGCGAGAAATTAAATAAAAAACAAAAGTGAATAGCCTATGTGCTGTTCCAGACTATCCTCTATATCTATACCAAAATTCATTGAAATCCGTTGAGCCGTTTAGGCTACAAACTCTTACAAAAATCCATCTAAGCTTTCGCATTTATAATATTAGTATGATATATTTATTGAATACTGTTACACCTTACATGTTTACTTGTATTTACGTCAGAGACTGACAAATAGTAGCTTTTACAATGTAATTAACATATAAGTTACAACAAGTAACAAATAGTACTGATAATACAAAAAGTAACAAATATATTAGAGAACATAAGAAAAATGTTTCTATTTGTATTTTGTATCAGTAATTTTTTTTGTCTATAATACACTTATGTACTTATTTTGTGTTCTGTAATTGTTATAGGAATATTAAAACTTGTAATACATAATTTTATGTTTTTGTAAATTAACAAGTAA